GACGAGCGCACACATCCTATAGCAAAAATCTCTCTCTCAAAAAAAAAAAAAAAAGCCTGGAATTTACCCCACATAGTGGGGTATATTTACCAAAACAGTGGGCTTGAAACATGTTCTAGTAATGCTATTGGACCTCACAGTAAAGAAAGATTTTTTTTTTTTTTTGGAGAGGTTTTCACTATAGGGCGCGTGCGCTCGCCAGACAGACAGAGACAGAGAGACAGAAAGCGAGCAATCACCCCCCCAGGGGAGATGACCATGCCACAATCTCTTCTCCTCCATTCTCCTTTCGGGATCTTGGGCATGCATGCACACACGCCTGGCTTGAGTTTTAAGCCACCGGGTCCGGGACGTGAACCGCGGTCGACTACGTGGGAGTCCAGCGACATAGCCATTATGCTAACTGCTGGTTCCCAAGAAAGAAATTTTAATGCAACATGAGAAATAGGGGCAAAAAAGAAAGCTTTCTTTTTCATTTTTATTTTTTTTCTACAGCCACTTTTGCAACATGACAAAGACATCAAGAATGACCTAAGGATCCGGGCTGAAATGCCTTCCAGGTATTAGGATTATCAGCAAATAGTGCTGGCCTCGCGCAAACTCAGGAAATGTTATTTTTTTGAGCTCACTTACAGGAAATTATTGGAGGATGCTGCCAGAAAGCACAATGAGTAGACAGAAGAACGCATTGCGTGTGTAATGTTAAACCAAGAATAACACACATGTGGACACCAATTAACCTGTGACGTGGAAATGAGACCACTGGTAAAGTCAAAAGAACAAAGGAGAGAGTTGAGAAAAAAGCTATTTTATGTGTAATAGGTGGAGTCAAGAGGGTAGAATTTCTTTCTCAAATGGCAAATTAAGTAATAGATATACAAAAATATGAAATATATGGAAGTACACATGTGCAGAAGTTTTAGAAAGAGTAGTGAATATGGTCCAGATGGTGGCAGAGTGGTAAAACACAGTACTCCGAGAGTCAATCCCACATGGGCACGTTCCCGGTTCATGCCTGGTGGCCTCCCTGAGAACTCTGGGTCCATGTACGCCCACAGTCTGGGGCTGGCTGAAAGCTAGAGGTCAACTGCAGCATCAAGATGCTGTTCGGGGGACCAGCACATGGTGGACTCCCAGGTAGCTGACTGCGGTTCGAGGGCCGGAGCCAGTGGCTGTTGGGAGTGCTCTCTCTGTTACTCACGGGGAAAAAATGAATAAATAAACTAAGTGAAAGGAGAGTGAACAAGACTCAGAAGTAAAAGGACAATGAGTAGGAATTACTATCAGCAGATACGAAGAAGAGCTGGAAAGCCTAGGGAACTATAACAGCAGCCTTGCTACATGACTGGACAAACTCAGGAAACAAAATATTGGGTCGTCAGAAAAGTCATGATGCATTTTTCTGCTTTTCTATGCAAAAATGTGCCATTACTTTTCCAACAGCTCAATAATAAAACCCAGAAATTGACTCCAATTCAAATTTTGTATACAATAAGTGAGGAAAGGCAAATATTCAAGGATGTGGGTTTCATACTAGGATAGTATCTGGAAAAAATGAAGTTAAATCCTACATCCGAAAGAGCGTTTAAATTATGCTGCAGTAAAAATGACCTGAAAACCCAGCAAACACTGATTTCTCATGTGCGTTACTCATGAACCACGGGCGGGTTTCTCCCCTGTTCCAGCTCCTGTCACCATCACTCTGGAATCCCAGCCTCCACCCGCCGTTGCCCTGCCGGAACGAGAAGTGAGGAAGAGCAAAAGCGGCCCCACTTCTTACACCTCCTGCCTCGCAGTGCCGTAATCGGTCTCAGCTCACATTTAACTGAACAAAGCAGGTCAGCGTGGTGAAGCCCGGCACGGAGAGGGTGAGGAGGTAGAATGATCTCAATGAACAGGCATGAAAACTGTGTAAGAGTCAGTCCACAGTGCTTTCATAACTCACACAGCTCTGGGACACATTTCAAGTGGACCGAAGACTTAGTGATAAAAATAGGAAATTATGAAATGTTCTAGAAGATACCCGAGGTCATTCTTTTACTAGTCTAGAGAAGGCAAGTTTTTTCTAACTACAAAGTACACTAAAGAAGCCATTAGGGAAATAATATTTTTTTTTACTATATACAAATGAAATAGTTTTCTTTTTAAAAATTTACCGTAGGATGTCTGCACTTGCTGCACAGAGAGAGGGAGAGGGAAAGTGAGAAATGACCTCTCATGAGGGTTGGCCACACCATAATCCTTTCTTTGCCATTTTTCGTCTCAGGAGCTTTGGGCACATATGCACATGCACCTGGTGTGTTTTTAAAGCCAACAGGTTTGGGATTTGAACTGTACAGTCTAGACTCCATGGGAGCTGACTGAAGGCTGGAAGCCACTAACTGGCTACAACACATCAAATATTTTTTCTTGAGTAACAATCATAAGCCCTTTCCAAAGACAAATTACAACATAATTGACAATTATTTGTAATTTAGAACATAGTCAAAATGTCACTCTCTAATATATAAAGAGTGTCTATTTCAACAAGAAAAAGAACCACCAGAACACCTGGGCAAAGAATTGAGCAGATTGGTCAAAGGAAGGGAATTCAAGTGGCTCATAAATAGAAAAAAAAAAAAAAAGAAAGAAACAAGAAAAAAAAATCCCCAACATATTCTCAGCCTATTTATAATAAGACAAATGCAAAAGAGACTACCAGGAAATTCATTTTTATTGCACAAACTGGCAGAATCCAAAACTTTGTGGATACATGTTTCGGAGAGGCTCACCTTTTGCTTGTGGGAGTATAAACTAGAACCCTTTTGTATGTAAAACCAGCAGTATCTATCAAAATTACCAGTTCATATGTCCTTTGGTCTAATTTAATTTCTAAAAACTTTGACTTGCAGGTCAACTCAAGTTATGCCACTGTGAGAAACGCCCTGCCCTGCCCTGCCCTGCCAGGAGAAGCTGCTGCCAGAGGCAGATACCACTGGTGACACGCAGAGCAGAGAGTGGAGATGACCGTGTGGGCGGGGCTGACAGCATGCAGACCAGGGAGCTCTTCATAGTTGACACCCTATTGACCTGCAGTTGGACGCTTAGCCCAGCGTAATAAATCAGATGACTCTTTACTAGATGAAATTGTACTGACTCTCTGGAAGAAATTAGGGCAGCTGGTGGGGTGTCAGTGCTCTTGCTTAGAGGTTCTCTCTCATAAAAGCCACCCATATTATTTACAATTTAAGTGTCCCTCCTGTTGCCATATTTTACAATATAAGCAGGAAACCAAGGACCATCAGACATTTGAGGGAGTAACTAATGCTAAAACATGTAAATCACACCAAAGTACAGATAAAGGATCCTGTAAAAATAAATCAGCAATGAAGAGAACTTTTAAGAGTTCCGGGACCAGCAGTTAGCGTAATGGCTATGTCACTGGACTCCCACGTATTCGACTATGGTTTGAGTCCTGGACCCGGAGGCTTAAACTCACACCGGGCACGTGTGCGTGTGTGCCCAAGATCCCAAGAGGAGAATGGAAGAGAAGGGATTACAGCGTGGCCATCCTCCCTGGGGGGTGATTTCTTGCTTTCTGTCTCTCTCTCTCTGTCTGGTGCTCGCACGCATCCTATAGCAAAAACCTCTCCAAAAAAAAAAAGGAGTTCTAATTAGTATTTGTAACAAGATTCAAGATTGCTCTCATAAAACAAGAAACAAGAATTGGATGCCATGAAAGAGGAACATATTGTGTGTGTGTGTATGTATATATAAATATATATATAAAATATATATCAGATATGCTGTGTATATCTAATATATATACATTAGATATATATTATATATATATATATGAGTGTGAGTGTGTGTGTGTATTAGATTAGAAGGGTGGGAAGGTAAGGATAGGAAATATTTTTGATTGCAGGATGAAAAGACAAGGGGGAAAAAGATGAAAATTTTAACCTTCAAGAAGATCAGTCCAGGAGGCCATCTAGCAAATAAGAGTTGAAGGAAGAGAAAATCAAGTAGATGTAGAGGTCATATTTATCAAATACATTAAGAAAATCTTTCACAAATTGATAATGGATATATCTTTAAGGCCACAGTAATGTGGAACAGGCAGTGAGAACCCAGCCCTGTGACCGTGGGAATCAGGAATCCATCTCATATTTTGTTCCCTGACATCAAAGTGAGATCTGAAGGGACCAGCAGTTAGCGTAATGGCTATGTTGCTGGACTCCCACGTAGTCGACTGTGGTTCGCGTCCCGGACCTGGTGGCTTAAACTCACTCCAGGCGTGTGTGCGTGCGTGCCCAAGATCCCGAGAGGAGAATGGAGGAGAAGGGATTGCGGCGTGGCCATTCCCCCTGGGGGGTGATTTCTCGCTTTCTGTCTCTCTGTCTCTCTCTCTTTCTGGTGAGTGCACATGCCCTGTAGCTTGGGGAGCGCAGCTGCCCTATAGAAAAAAAAAAAAAAAAAAAAAAAAGTGAGATCTGAAAATATCCACGTGTGCAGACTCTCTAGATCATTTCGAAGTTAACCAGAGCAAATGGCTAAGGAGCCAAGCACTAGGTGTGGGACCAAATTGTCCTAGATAAATCATTCTGGTCAAAATCCGCATCCTGGATCCCATAAACTGAAGACGTTCTCACAGAAACAAACCCCACCATGACGGTGATGGGTCAAAGGGTCACAGAAATCAATGGAAAAGGCAGCTAATAGCCAAACTGAAATAACCAGAACAAGAAAATAAAGTAATATTGGGTTATAACTCAAATTATAAAATAAATATCCATAGGTCTAGGAGGAGCTATGTAGATGGTTGGACACATAAATAAGAGTGAAGAGAGAGACCAGCAGTTGGCATAATGGCTGTGTCGCTGGACTCCCACGTAGTTGACCATGGTTCGAGTCCCCGACCCAGTGCTTAAACTCGTGCCAGGCACGTGTGTGTGCGTGTCCAAGATCCCAAGAGGAGATTGGAGGAGAAGGGAATTGCAGGGTAACCATTCCCCCTCGGAGGTGATTTCTCGCTTTCTGTATCTCTGTCTTTCTGGCAAGCGCACATCCCCTATAGCAAAAATGTCTCAAAACAAAAACAAAAACAAAGAAAGAGTGAAGAGGCAAGTCCCCGGTGCACAGCTATCCGAAATAATGCCTGCAGATCCTTCCTCCCCGAGGAGGGGAGGGTAACTCTGTTCTGTAGCGTGGGTTCCGAGTAGTGATTCCCTTCGACAAATTACTCTTTGGGAAGTGGGGAAACTGACTTTAAAGTGAAGAAATCTGACACACCCGAGTTTAATTTTAGGAGCAAAGTTAACACCACAGTCATAAATCATCCTTGCTAGATGACGAGAACGACACTGTACCTCTGTGATCTTCCTATCCAATATCCAAAGCCCCATTCCGATTGTTAGAGAAACATTAGTCAAGCCCCAACTGACATTCTACAGAAAACGCCTCAAAACTGTCATCACAACCAGAAAAGTCTGAGAAACTGTCACAGCAAGGAAAGGGCCTTGCTTGACAACTCAATGTCATGTGAGACTCTGGGACAGGAAAGGGATGTTAGCTAAAAGCAGGACTGGACTATGGGCTTCAGTTAATAATAAGGTGGCAATCCTGGGTCATTCATTGTGACAAACGGACCGTAATGTATGTCAGTAATTGGGGAAACTGGGTGAGGGCATGTGGAAAAATCTCTGTATTCTCTTTGCAATTCTTCTGTGAATCTAAAACTATTCTAAAATCTAAAAGGTATATTTTTAAAAAATCCCAACCACTGGATTGGCGCTCGGATGGGGTGGAGGATCCACACACTCCCACCATGTGCGGCCTTTGAACTTCACCTCACAGGGTCAGACAGGCCTTTGCTGCAGTTGGCTCCTGAACACACCATGACTCAGGAGGGAAGTCAAAGGGCAGAAGGATTAGGCTCATTTCTGAACATTCCTGTGCTTCCCAGGTCTGAAATCCTTTCCTGAAATCCCCGGAGAGCTAATTATTTATTCCTAACCTGCAGCGGCTTGCCAGGCCTTTAGCTTCCTCTAACTGTAGTCGCCCGAGTTCCTGGCCTCTGCTTTGACCTCCTTCCTGGTTCTTACAACTTGACTGATTTCTGAACAAGAATGAAAGCATGTTAGTTCTGGAAGAAAACTTGGACTGCACGGCCAGATCCTCTCACTTTTTATGTTAGGAAACCGAGGTTCAGAGAAGCGTGGAGCTCACCCAGATCTCATAGCTAGTCTCGATCTTACATGCAAATGGACCTTTATTTCCAGATCTTTTAGGGTAAGATAAAATATTAACCTAGTTTTTATCTCCCTCTTACCTTCTGAAGTTCCCACATTGAGAAGCAAAGACGTCTATGTTATATCATAAGTTAATGAAGCAGAGTGTGAAAAATATAATTAATTTTGACGTTTGAGCCTTAGTCCATATCTGCCTTTAGAAATAGAGATCACGTTTTTCTTTATGGCACTCAGCTTGAGAATATTACGCATTGGAATGAATCGCTGACCATGTTATCCCCTTTTAAATGACATGGTAAGAAGTTGTAGAAGCCATGTCCATGGAAGCAATCTAAATTTAGAGGTGTGTTTTGAGTAAGATGTTGCAGATGCTCAAAATAGTATATTTTTTTCTGGAGTTTCTGCAAATTGTCCCCTGGCAGTTCAACAACAATAATCATAATGGGGATATCTCTGCAACTTAGCTACTGGTCCAGAGGCTGGAATGTGTGCCTCTTATAATTGATCATGCATTTGACAATATTCATGCTGGCAGTCTGTTATTTTTTGATTTCCAAAAATCATTTATAC